TAATAGTGAAAGACTAGAGGGAAGGCAGCTAGTCATCACCACCCATAGCCAATTCTTGGGCTACCCTTTTACCAATGAATAGTGGGATTGACCATCACATTATAATGCCCCCACGGTTCATAGGGCGAGTATGTTTGGTGGGACGGGGATTCAAACCCACAGATTGCGAGTCAAGCACCCTAACCACCTGGCCATGCCAGGCCAAGAAAAGTTGAAAAAATTTCTTTAATGTGAAATTAACCAATAATACAATCAGTCAACCAAAGATAGAAAACTGATCAAAACTAGACTATCTCTCTTGAAGCCATCCAAATAGTTAGAAGATTTAAATCTTAACTGGTTGAGAGCTAAGACAAGAGTATAACATGCCTGTCTTTCTAACAGGAAGATAGAAGTAAATCCTATCCAAGGTCCTGTGACCATAAAAAAGTCCTTTTCAAGACTTCCTTGTTAGAGATTAGGGGCAAAACAAAGAATGTAAACTAACTAGGAACTAGTATCTTTTAAGATTAATTTTCAAAAAAAGAAATATTAGTACCTAACTGGCAATCAGACTTAGGTTATTTTATATCCTAGTAACTATAACAACAAAAAGTGAAAAGATATTTGGATAAAAGCAGTTAAGTATGAATTTGGAACATCTGTTCACAGGTGTACTAATTTGTTAAATTAAAAAGAAACAGTGCTAACGTGATCAGTAAATCATTAACTATAATAATATTTAACATAAATAAGAAGGGTTAAATAAACAACAAAAAACACAGTTTCATCCATCCCAGCCAGAAACTAAAGGCTCAAGATGCTACTTAAGAAATATGTTAGAATCAGCTAAGATGAATGGGACAGTTAAGACCAACAACTTGTGTATCAAAAATAGAAAAGGAGTTACATATTTTCAAATATGAGACTAATATCTTAATATCTAACTCTTATTAACAAGTATTAGATCAGTGCAATAATAAAATATATGTGTTTGTATCATTTCATTCGAAGCATAAGTCCGAGGCATCAAAAATTATAGTTTTCTACAGTGATTATTTCTATTTCAAAGATATGTACACACCTTTTACAATCAGTAGATTATATAATAAAGTAATTATAATGTTAATGGAACACTAATTTGGACATAACAACAGATATTTAATAGACATCTACAAACATGATTTCTACTTATAAGGTAGATGACCATTAATTAATCTGTGGGATAAATTAATACTTGGGTTTTTTTTGTTAAATTTATACAAGTGACTCAGATTACAAAAGCTGCAGTTTAAAGCACATTCAACTCCTTCAAGATGAAAAAATCAAACCAATGCTGTTTTGAACCATACACCAAACATTGTTCTCTTTCATCATATAAGAATATTTAGTGTTTCCTCAAAAGTTTCTTAATAGTATAAAAATAATTAAGATCACAGTTGTAATTAGTTTGTTACTATACAGCTACATTTTTTCAGGAAGTTTAAATCTTTGTGTATTAAGTCATTTAATGAAACTAAAAAACAGCTTCGTCCATTAACTCATAACTATCAAGTTGATTGAGATATTTATTACTTCAGAAATGTTTATCCTAAACCAGAACTTAAGCTGTCAGCCATGTAATTTTGAGGCAGGAAAATTTGTTCAAATTATGCAAAAACACTGGAAAGCCAAGTTGTAACTGCTTAGATTTGAAGGATGTTTTCTCTCAAAATTAGGAGTTTTTAACAGTGAGGTTAAAAAAGAGTTTGGATTTAAAGAAAATCCACTTTTCATTTTTTGATAAAAAGAACAGTTTAGTAGTATTACTAGTGCATGATTGGTGTCAAATTTCACAACCTCAAGACGTGCACCATCAAGTCCTAGAAACTACCAAAATTTCACGATAAATACATCATCAAAATATATATATTTGAAATATCGCCAAAATGTCCACGACCAAAGCAAACATGTATATTTCAATAATTTCAATCTTCTTTTCAGTTATGACTCTCCTGTTATAGTTGTGGATTGATGTCCATGTAGTTATCAAACCACCAGATCTGAGAATGAGTGCCCCCACATTCTGCTAAGTACACGTACGTGGTTACTTTGCTTCCCATAATGCTTAGACATTTACCTGTTGCTCCATGGATGATTGATCCACCCTGAAAGTCATAAAAATTAATACATATTGTCTGTTAGCAACAGATTCATCTACATCAGCATCAAGTGAAATATTCAGCTAATACACAATCTATTAAAAATAACCTATGCATGTATGTATATCAAAATCTCCCATTTCATGTTGAAAACTGTAATTCTGAAGTAAATGCATATTGCTTGCTTTAAAAAAACAACAACTCTTCTTGATTTCATTCTTGCACACAAAACATATTCTGAACAGCATTTCTACATAAACATATTTCTTCTAGTTTGAACTTCTTCACACTTCAGTATATTTACAAACGTATCTTTTAACATATTCAGCTACGTCTCCAATGTTTGATGTGCCATTTTGGTTTAAACTTTACTTTCTTTCCACACACATCTCAGTATTGGCACAAGTCTGTGTGATTATAGTTGCCTTTAAATCAAGTAAATGAAAATCCTGAAGGATCATAAAGTACTCTTCAATGATGATTATACGTAGAGAATATTATGGAGTCATAAGATTGATATTATATGTTAATTACACATAAATATTATGTTAAAGCACAAAAATCACATAAATTTACTTTTGTATGATGCCATTCCTGGCCTTGTCTTCTACCATGACACTTCACCATCATGATAATTTTCTGATGGGAAGTGTCGTGAGACACTTCTGCACAATTTTCTTCCTGTCTAAGTTCATCGTTAGAAGAAAGAGCAAACACCTAGAAAAAATAACAACAAAAGGAATAGAAAATATTATGATTTTAAAACAAGTATTGCATTATTCTTACACAAAAATAAAACCAACAGAGGCAATATACAAAACTTTTGTAAGAAAGTACCAAATTGCTAATATTTATTTTCAAGTAAATCTGTGAACCATTCTGAAAATGATCTTATCACGAATAGTGCAATGAGGTTGTGTGTGTATTTATTAAACAGAAAAGTGACAATCATATTGTAATTCTAAATTCATATTTACTATTATGCATAATAAAATCTCTAATAAATGTTATAGTTACCAAAATATCAATTCTTATACCAGTCTCTTGTCAGCCATATCAATTTCTACAACACATTGACAGAAGTGGAGTATTTCCTACTTTAATGTTTTAATGGCACTTTTCAAGACTTAGAATTGTAGTCTCCTGGTATTAATCCATAGAAGACTCCACATGCGAGTCATATTTTCAGGTACTGATTTAATATTTTATTTATTTCCGATTGTTTGCTTAATAAACAAAACGTTGACTTTGCGAGTCATTTTGATCATGATCATGTGAAGATACACAATAAGAACAATCTATCTCTGTGTGCATACCAAGTTGGTAATATGACTTAGCTTTTTATTAATGGGGATTAAAAACTGGTATGCATATCTAAAGAGCTTATATCAGTGGTTCCCAACATGGGGTCTGTGAAGGTAATACTGGGGGGTTCGCGAGTTATTTTCTTAACTAAATAATGTACACAAGGACATAGAATAATAATATGTAAAAAGCTGTTCTATAACTGTCACAATTTTTCTGGCTCTCAAAAAGTATGTGAGAAAAGCCATTAAAACGAGTTAATAAAAATAGTTTGTTGGGTAGATGGAATCTTTCAAAAACATGGGGTCCATGGAAAAAAAAGTGGTCCTTAGTGGTGGAAAGATTGGGAACCACTGGCTTATATGATGATGAGTTCAATAATTTTTCCTCAAGTTTCATACACCAAATTAAAATTAATAAGACAATACTCACTTGGTATGTAACAGTATTACAGAAACTGGAGAGAAAAAGCCTTTGCCATTAAAAGTTTGTTATTAGTATTATATATGGTAAAAATTAAAGGCATAGCAATATAGCGATACAAGCATCCTATTGTGAAGTCGTGACACGAGTGTTTCGATACATCGTCTGATACAATTTATGTATCTTCACTACACTAAATTTGGCAAGCTTTCAGTAAACATTTTAAGTATTTTGTACAGAAAAAATCAGAATTTCTAATAAAGTATTTTTGCTAAAAATTAAAGATTCAATAAAGAAAGATGAGTATTGAGTACTACCTATCATCTTCATTTCTATTATCAAAAACATTGCATGCAAAGTAACATAACAAATTAACAATAACAAAAATACAGATAATTTTTTTTATTTTACTTTTCTTGCCAGCTGCCATTTAGTTCATCAAACCCGAGAATTTGATAAAGCACTGTAAAGAATGAAGTACTTAAATAAGACAATGTTAGTAATATTGATAGTATATTACAGACAAGACTGTCAAACTTTGAAACAAACCATCTGTAAAACTTCTGTATCTAGATACATATGGTATTGTGGCATCAAAATTTAGATGTGTATTGTATTGACTACTACAATGAGATACACACCCCTAATAAACATCATTTCTTACATAATGATCTTTGATGGATACTTTGAAAATGTAATTCAAAATATAACATTTATATTGTAAATAATAACTACTGATAAAATATTTTCATTTAAATTATTCCCTAGAAAGCCAACTAAATTAAAACCAAGGTATCTGAAACTGTACATTTTATGACTATAGCTAAATTATCAATGAATTTCTCTTGTAACATTCAACAATAATAAAAAAAATGTTACAGTCTCCATGAAAAACATTTTGGAATCACATGATAACTGTTAGCAGACTAATATAGTCCTTGAACAAAACTGAATGGCTTATCTCTGCTCATGCTATTTTTGGCCATTAAAACTAGTCAAGGCATTTTCATGCAGTGGCATAAATGTTGGCAGATTTTATTAGACATTGCTAAAAATTCTCATTTAGAGCATTTATCACATACTCTGTCAGTTTTAGAACCTAACTAAATTATTTAGCTAGCTAAGTTATTTGTACACTACCTAGCTCTAGCATTAACATTCTTAAAATTTTAGAAACAATTTTTACTTGGTTCATTGTAACACCCTTCTGACTCTTGCAGTAGTAAAGTCCTAAGGCCTCAGCTTTGCCTTCCTTTTGGTTCTTAGTATCCAAACAGAGGTTACTAATAGGGTTACGAACCTTTAAACAAAAGAAAATAAAAGCTATGAGACATAAAAAAAAAGGATCACATAACACAGCAAGGCTACCAGTTTCATAGACAGTCATTTTTATTTTAATAATTTTTTTTATGTGAAATCAAACAATAACTTAAATTACACTTATGAAAATATATTGATTTAATCAAAACAGTTAAATATTCATTTCTAATAAAGTAAGAAAGCTTACGTAATAACTTTTTTAACTGAGAAAGTAAGCTAAATTTTAAGATTAATAAATTTTGTTTTGAAATGATTATACATAATATTTATACAACAAAAACAAAGCTAAATAAAAATATACCGTTCCAAAAGCAAAAACATTTTGATCCACAATAAACTTTTGAGGATACACATTCTCCAGATACCATCCAAAATCCTTGCACTGTAGCTTGTGTTGAAGCTCAAGTCTTTTACTAATATCCCCATAGTTGACATACTGAAATATTTAACAAAAAAAGGGAATGAAAAGTATAACAACATAATTTTCTATTCTCTAAAGTATATTTGGATGTTTCCAAAATCCCAGTAAGATTTTTCATTTATTTGGTCTTTATCCAACAGAAATTTGCAGATTTATAACCACATTTTGTTTGCCCTCCCACATTTTTTATTTAGTTTTATTAAACTGAGATTGTGATACACCCTGTACACTCACAATTAAATATGAACTTATATATATAAAAAAACTGATTAATGCATCATTCATAGCACATATAATATGTAATAAAAAAGCATAAACTAATAAATAAAAACTAAAAATTCCCCAAATAATTTTTACAGTGCAACTGTAAAATTAGCCAAACAAGTGAACAATGGATATATGAACATACATTATCAATTTTTTGTGTCAGTCAGGTAACATACCAAAGCCATCCAGGATCAGTTAAAAACAATTTTTAATATTTTATGCATACCTATCTCCATAAATCTAGACACTGATTAGTAAATATTAAATCAATATTTACATTATTTCCAAAGCTAATATAATCATTCAGTGGTAAAGCAGGAACTTATTTTGAAACACCTTTTATGTTATAGTATTTTGGCAGTTGTGTAACGTCGAAACATGTGGAGTCATCAACTTTTTGAAGGCCATAGATAGGCATAAATAAAATGTTTAATTGTGTACCAGTTTAACGTTGAATATTATTTATGATTTTAACCTTTCATGTTGTCTTGAAAATCAGTTTTATCACTTCCCAAAAATCATATTCAATTCAAAAATAGAAGTAGAACTGACATTTAAATTTCTTAAAACCCTTTAATATACTTCTTATACAAATAAGCATAAATGGGTATTGATTTATTCATTGAAATACACTAATTATGTAATTATTCAGTAGCCACAGTAATTATTAACAGTTAGCCACTGTTAAGCAACATTTATTTTTACATTTTTATCACAGTCATAGCCAATCTAATCTACTACTGGTGAATGAGTTGCTAAAATCTGGTTCAGTAAATCATTCTTCTAATTCTTTACATGAAATACTTTATTTCTTGCATATACACCATATTTCTAACTTCTTCTTGACTTTCTAAAATGTTTCAGATTAATCTGCCGTAACAGGTTTTTCATAAAATGTGGATCCAAAATGTTCTTCATCCAAGGAAGTGACAAGCTTCTTTTTTACTGTTATATGACACAAGTTCCACAGCCTACTAAATATCACATTTTGTTTTCTGAAATCATACTAAAAAGGCTTTTCTTTTTAACAACCAACTATACAACATAGAAATTATGATTATGCCTTGTCCCATTAATAATACAGAAAGAGCTTGACCCATTTTAAATTACAGTACTTTTTCTACTAATCATGTAATTTGATAGTAAATTATTCAAGCTTCCTAAACTATCTGTTTTCAGTTTACTATATTAATCAATATTTAATTTAGATGAAAAATTACATGATTAATAAAGTGAAAACACATGAACTATTAACTACATTTCTATCTGGATATCCTTACATTTCAGAACAACAAAACAAAGTCCTAATTTGTAATGCCAGTTTAACAGATATTCAAGCTTAACTTCCTTTAGCTGTGGGCTAGAATGACTGTAATTGTAATTGTTTTTGGGCTCAATCTTATGCAAAGACCTTGGATTTAAAAACAAGGAAATAATATATATATAGACACACACATGTATGCACAATAGAATAAGAGAAACATCTAAAAATGTTATTTTAGGGCTTCTCCACAGATAAGGTGTTTCTTACTAGCTTTCAACTTACCAATTAACACATTTTTACTGGAATTATCATTAACTACATTGATCAGAGCTAAATTTTACCCCAGTAATTACTACAGCTAACTTAATATACCATTCTTAATATAATGCATTGATCCATCTGTTGTGTACAATTTCTATTAACAATATTCAAAGTCATAATACCAAAAATTACTCACAGTGTTTGGCCAGCTTAGGAGATTTATGTTTGTCTTAAATCTGTAAACTCACCCAAAGATTCAAAACAATCCTCATAATAAAAGATATATAATCCCAAATTGAAAAATAATGAGCATAAATATATTATATACAGAAATTAAACATTTTATCCAGCACTGTTAATGAAACTAATTTAATGTATGTAAAGAATACAGAAAAACTTGTTGGTTTCTTTATGCAATATCACTGATTCCATGCCCCTTGAAAATCATGATACGAGTATACACGTAACACCATCTACTGACCAACGAAAGATCATTACATACCAAACATTTCAACTTTAGAATAGCTTGATATTTTGGATAAATTACTAAGACAGACTTTAACATTTTCCAACACTGAAAATGTATTTCTGGTAGATACCTCTTCTGACACAAAAGCTTTCCCGATTCAGTGCTGCCCCCTATATGCACAATTTTTGCTCACCACTAGCCTTGAAACTCCCACATAAGATCACACATTTCCTCGTAATATTGCCGTGCTGTTGCATGCAATAGAAGTGTGACGCACCCTCCTAGCAAAGCTGGCTCCCTATATTATGATTGTTCAATCATCAATTCAAAATCAGATAAAAAAGGCACACCAAAAGTGAGGAGGATGGGTGGAAAAAGTAAACAGAAGTATCTATCAGAAATACATTTTCAATGTTGGAAAATGTTAACATTTCGTATGATACATTACCTCTTCTCACGTACTAGCTAGAATCCCACACTGAAGTGGTGGAGGGATCAGAGCAAAAGTTACCTAGATGAGCCCCCTTCGGAAAGTGCCAAACCTAAAGTGTGGCAACCTATACCATGAAAAGATATAGGGGCACACCCATGGGAGACCACACCTCATCTGGACCAGGGTACATTCTTTGTCCACATTGAAGATGTGCATCATTAAGTAGACCAGAAAACAAGCACAGTCCAGAATCTGTTTACAAATTATAGTCATGCTAAATGATATAGTGTGGCTAGGGTGCATCAGACCGTATGTGGTGAGTCTACTACAGTCCAAAAACCAGGCAGTATTGGGTATTTTCACCTGGTCCATGGTAGAAGGAGGGTCCTGACCTCAATCCCAGGAAGTAAAAGGGAAAGTAACCTTTGTTTTGTGAACCAAGGGAGTGCTTTTGTGTGCTGTAACTGCACACATCTAACACCAGGCCACCTGAAAACCCAATATCCAGGTAGAATCGGATATTTTTCGCCCAGTTTGTAGTAGGAGGAGGGTTCCTACCAACCACATGAATGAGGGCTTATGTTTGCTGGTACTACATCTATCCAATACTAGACTGCCCAGGAATTAACATCCAGGCAATGGCAAGATGGAGGAAAGCCAGCCAGAGAGGTGAACTGTATGTGGTGGGTCATCTCCAGTCCAAAATGTTGAAAGACAAAAATCCAACATTTAATATTTCCATAACAGGTAATATGTGTGTGTAGATCCTTCCATGAAAAAATGGTTATATCTGAACAGTTCACTATAATAATAATAATAATAATAATAATAAAATAAAAAAAAACAAGTGCCAAATCAAGATGTGATGATTTAACAATCAGTATAGAGGAAGCCAGCTGCACTAAGAGAGTATCATACTCCTATTGGTTGAGAGTCATTACATGCTCATTTACATGCTACAGTGCAGCAATATCACATGGAAACACATTATCTTAGGTGGGAGTTTCAAGGCAAGTGAAGAGTGAAAACTGTACATATAGATGGCAGCACTGAATCAGGAAAGCTATTATGTGAGAAGAGGTAACAATCTTATCAGAAGTTAGTGTTTAACCACAGAGTTGGGTAGTGGAATGATACAGTTAGTACAGCAAAAAACTAATGTTTATTAAGATAAAAAACTATGTAATAAATAGTAAAAATATAATACTCCAAAGAGAATAACTAAGTTAAATGAAATTAAAAGAAAATTAATTTACTAAACATATTATTAGCTGTGTCTTACACAACTAATCTGTCTTTATCCTACATGCACATGATCAATTCACAGAGTGCACAATCTGACGTAATAAGTTAATTCCTAACATTAGCCAAAATGTATATTCAATAATAAGATACGAGAAAAATCGCAGGAATAATAAGACTTAAAATTTTTTCCATTTGCAATGTAACAGATCTATCCCAAAATTTCCTAATGAAACCATGACACTGTTTACCAATATTGAATCTCATCCTTGTATCTCATCTTTCAAGAAGACATGAAACCTAAGTCTGAACTTATTTTTTGCAGTTTCTACATTTGTTATGAAATCTTAGGCTGATCAAAACATCTCTAAACTGTGATAACTCTTTTAGTAACAGAAGAGTGAGTAAACACTAAAACCCATTCCTTTAACAAATACAGTTTGTTTCTAATTGCAAAAGTATTTAAAAACCTTCTATAAAATAAACCCAAAATATGTTTATGATCACCAAGAGCATTTCAACAAAATACCTTACTCAGATTTTAGTAACCTTAAAAGATTACAATTAATCTTGTTCGCAGGGGCTAAAATGTCTATTATTACTATTATTATTATGTTTTTTACAAATTACCATGCATTACCCTTAGATTTGGTCTATGCATATAAAAGTATCTCTTATAATCATCCATCCACACTTCAACTGTCCTCATAATGTTGATTGTATAAGCATCGTTCTTTCCAGGGAAAGAGTAGGGGTCGAACCTACGAGAAATGTGACCCACGTGAGAACAAGGGATGATTTCCAGAGACCCACCACACATCCAAACCTATATGCATAAAAATAAAAGTGATCAACAGAGTCGTATGTTTAAGTGATTTAATACTTAGCTACTGACATGACTTTGTGCTTGTTTGTATTGTTTAGAGAATATGATTTATACATTTGACTATTAACTGAAAAACAAAGATTATTATTTTGAAGGGACATTATAATAATATGCCTATATAAAGCTTACTGTTTCTGACATCAAAGGTTCAGAAATATTTTATCACATTATTTTTTTGATAATCTATAAAATGTTTTTACTTATTAATAAACCAAAATCCCAGGAGTACTTGAGGACTTACAAGTCCTCTTTTGCCCCAGATGTGGAGAGATAAAGAAATGTGACACAAAAAACAAAGTATTTCAACAAATGGAACCCTTTTTGGGGAAGGGATCTATAGATCCTATGCCCAACTAAATTCTGATGAGGGGGAAAAACTGGAGTACCCAGAGAAAACTTACTTTCATTAGTTTTTTTTTTGGGGGGGGGGGGGCTGATTAATTTCCAACTAGTGCCTGAGATGTTTACATGATAGATGTTACTGCTGAAAAAGCTGAAAGGAGACTACATGAAATGTATATAGGTCAGTGAGGAAAACTATGCATGGTAAACATCAGGTCTGATACATTTACTTATAAACACTTAGTCTGATATATCCATTTATGAACATCAAATCTGATATTTTCACATATAAACATAAAGTACAATATCTTCAGATTTTAAAAGTTTTAAGAAATATGGTCTTTAAACTGCAAATGACTTGTTACATTTAAGAATATTAAAATGTTATCTAACAAAAATTTATAAATGCATTTCAATTCTTACCCTAAAAGACATCTCTAAATTTTCACCACCACCTATATTCATTTCTTCATCATAGCTTCCAATCTCCCAAAAATAATTACGATCAACGGCAAAAAGACCATCTGCCATTGTTGGAGTCCTGTAAAATACAACAGTTTAATTTGTTTTAGTTGGATTTTAACTACTTAAATTATTTCAGCTTAGATCTTATAAATATTTATCAACTTCATTTCCAAACTAGGAGGAATATTATGTTAGTCAAAATTCTAGAGTTACATTGCTGAACTAAGGTATATCAACAATCACTAACAGAATGCTAATATTAGTTACACTGCTGGAATTTACATTTTCTTTAATAATAAATGAAAAAAAAAAATCCCTCAAAATGATCTGCTTCAAAAGTAACCTTAAGTCCTTATGTCCAATAAAAAAAACAATTAACAAAATTTAGTTCATTTACTCAATACTAATTACTACTTGCCTGAGTTTATGGATAAGTTTGTTTTGTAGCAATGTTAACATAACATCTATGTGACTATTAAGTTATATTTAATTTCAATGCTTAGCTTAGGCATAGTCTTACTTTTCAAGATTATGATTATGTTTTTTGGAGTAACTTAATTTAAAAAGTTAAAATGAAAATTTAATTCCTTTGCATGGTCTTCATTTCCAGTCTTTTGTGTATTGCAAACACAAGTGTCTACAATTAAGCATTGAAGGCTGGCAGAACTAAAACAATTCAATCCTAAGAGCAGAGCATTTCTTTAAACTCTACTCCAAAATAATATTAAACAAGAATTTTCCAAACACTTTTGCCTGGAGCATTCAAAGCTTCTGAAAATCAAGAACCTTTACCAATAAATAACAATCATAGTGTACACAAGTTTCTTTTTTTCAGTAGTTTAAAATCATAGAAGTTTGGAAAACATTTTTTGCTCCTACGTAAAACATAAAAGTAAACTAAAGTAAGACTAATGCCACCTTACAATACACACACCCATGAGTAGGAGTAATTTTTCAAAAACCTCTTTGAAACTATAAAACCTGTATATGCCTACCATTCACCACAAAAAACGATTCCAATCATAACAGCTTCAACTGCACAATTCAAACACGTCTGACGTAGTACTTTTAAAAAAATGAAAAGATCCTGATAAGTAATTAACAATGACCATCCCTTAAAAGCCCAGTCAGCTTCTTCCAATTAAAACTTTTTGTTTAGTTGTACCAGCTTATCAGGGTTTGACTCCTACAGAAAATAGTAAGGACAACCACCTGGATGTGTAAAGCTAGCTAGTATCTTACATATTTTGATTATTTTATAATTAACCATGTAAATTGCTTCACCGTTTATTGAACAAATCATTTTTCTCTTACTTAAGTTTTTCTATTCTATAACAACTATTGTTTTTTTTCACATACTCCATCACTTTTCTAATTTTCTAAATTGTGATGACAAACTACTGAAGACAAATTTTATTTAATCTAAAATATTCAAAATAAAATCTGTTTATTTTTACCATCACATTCAACT